AGGATCACAGATCAGGGAGAAACTGATTCTCCGTGGGGGTGTAGATGGTTTAGAAAGACTACAAAGGGAAGGTTATATTTGTTCTGGGCCTTGGAAGGTGAATACAAATTCATTGACCAGATTTTCATGTGGTGAAAAAGGTAAAAAGAGAGGAGATAATAGCATGAAAAAAAAAACAGTATAGCATGAATAGCGAGCGTGTCATGTAGAAGAATTACTGACCGGATTATGGGTGCCACATTATGATTGGTCATCCATGACATGATTAGGTATTTAGAGTTCATCCAAGGGTGAATGAGTCATCAAAAGTGTTTAATAAAGTAATTTTGGAAGCACTGTAGAAACAAAACAGGAGTCTGCTTTCAGTCGAATTGTGTGCCTCCAAAAAGGTAAGTTTTGAAGTCCTAACTTCCAGTACTTTATAATGTGCCTTATTTGAGAATAGTCTTTGCAGACGATCTAATTGAGGGGAGGTCATTCAGGTGAGCCTTAATTCAATATGACTGGTGTCCTTATGAAAAGGGGGAAATCTGGACACAGACATGTACAGCTGGAAGACAATATGAAGAGACACAGGAAAAATGCCTTACAAAGGTGGACAACTGGAATAATATGTCTACGGTCCACGTAATGCCAAAGATTGCCAGTGAACCACAAGCTAGGAAGAAGGCATGGAACATGTTCTTCCTCACAGCCCTCAGAAGGAACCAACCCTGCTGATACCTTGATTTTTTGGACTTCTAGCCTCCAGAACTCTGGGCCAATAAATTTATGTTATTTTTTTAAATTTTATTTTTTATTGAAGGGTAGTTGATTTACAATGTTAGTTTCAGATGTACAGCACAGCAATTCAGTTATATATATATATATATATATATATATATATATATACACACACATATATTTTCATTCTTTTCCATTATAGCTTATTACAAGAAATTTAATAGAGTTCCCTGTTTTGTATATAGAAATGGGTATCTGTTAATCCCAAACTCCAATTTATCTCTCCCCACTCTTTCTCCCATCGTTTGTTTTCTATGTCTATGAGTCTGTTTTTGGTTTGTAAACAAAATTTGTATCGTATTTTAGATTCCACATACAAGTGATATCATATTGTATTTGCCTTTCTCTGTCTGACTTACTTCACTTAACATGATAATCTCTAGGTCCATTCATAAATTTGCGTTATTTTAAGTCACTCCTTTTGTGGCACTTTTTTTTACAGCAGCCCTAGGAAACTAATACAGAGCAGCGTAGTCTAAAATGATAAGAGAATGGTGGGCAGCGGGGTGGGGAGGGGTGTATAGCTCAGTGGCAGTGTGTGCTTATCACTCATGAGGTCCTGGGTTCAATCCCCCATACCTCCACTTAAAACAAATAAATGAATCTACCCTCCCCCCAAAAAAAATTAATTTAAAAACAAGAAATGATAAAGTGATAAGAGAACGAACAAAAATAGTGATAGTGGGAAGTTCAAAAATGTCATAAATGCACAAGATATTGCTAAAGTAAAAAGCAACAAGATTTAATGATTGGAAGAATATGCCAAGGAGGGATGAAGTCTAAGGTGAACAAAGATTTTATTCGATCTTAATCAACTTGAATGTAGTGGCTCAAGTTCCTTAGTGTCCTCATTAGATCTCTCCCGAGGTCAAGGACCTTGTAAAAAGCCCCATGCCTTTTCCTCTGGCTGGTGGTGTCTAGCCTAGCTGTTCTGCTGATTTCTCATTCAGACCTTTCTCTGGGCTGGATCCCCCAGTTTCCATTCTGTTGGCTTATAGCTGTATCTGCTCCTTCCACCCAGTTCTTTTAAGAGGCTTCAGTTGACCTGTCTAAGTTCCTTTCCATTTTAGTTTTGCCCTGGATGCTATTAGGTTATCATTAGCTTTACATTCTGCCACTTCTAGCCCAGTTCCATCCCTCCCGAATACACAGCACAAACCGCTAGCATCCAGATTCAGCACCACAAGCTTTCACTTGTCTAGGGAGCTAGAACAGATACTAACACCACTGACCAAACTGTAAAACATAGGAAACGAAAACATGGCAAGAAAGCCACTGAATTGACCATTGGACATTACAGAGAATATATTTTTGACATGAAGGAAATTCATTGACCCCTCCTTTCTCCAGGGCTGCTAATAGTCCACATACCACCTCCAAAGGCATTGGTCTGCCTCATGCTCCTGTTTCCTTGACCATATCTCTTTGATAGGAACACCTCTGAACTGGGCCAGCTAGATTGTCTCTACAGAAAAAATGGAAATCGGTTTCCATAAGTGTCTAGATCTAACTTAGAAACTGCAGCAAGTATAATCTTCCATATGGACTAAACAGAGAAAGCTGGATTGCAGAGAGGTAAGAAAATTAAGCAGATGTTAGAAGAAAGTGAATGTGACAGATACAGAGACCCATGCTGCCTGGGTCCCTTAGAGCATTCCCTTTCCTGGTTCCAGCAGTTTTCTGAAACCGGCTGCATTCCTGCCTGTGGATTCTGTAAAAATACCTCTGTATCCTTATGTTAAGTGCACTAACCTTTTTATATCACCCTAACTAAAGTTTTTCTCGAAGAATCCTAACCAACACAGATGTATCAAGTCTGAAATGTGTATTTAACATCTGAGAGAAGAGATAATTGGAAACATGAGTCTGAATATAAAGCAGAGGTTTGCGGAGGGGTGGACATATGATTTGGGTAAGGGGGAAACTGAAGTCACCGGAGTAGATGATGTTACAAGAAACAGCTCAAAGTGAAGGGAAAGAGGGGGAGAGGGCGAAAAAAGGAAAGATGGATCTGTTAAGAATTTTAATATATAAGATATGGATCACAGAAAGGAATCAGTGAAGGTGGTTAAAAAGAACAGGAAACTAGGAGAGAATGCATTCACAGAAACCAAGAAATAAGATTATTTAGATTCTACTTATAGAAAATACAGTCACCAGTGTTTTAAACAAATACTGATTTATTTATCCCAAACAACAAGATGTCTAGAGATGGTACCACTGATCAACAGGTCCATCTGGGACCCGGTCTCTTCCTCTCACTTCTACCACCATTTTTAGCATCCAGCCTTCACCTTTATGGTCACAAGATGGCTGTTACACCTTCCAGGTAGGAAGGAAAAGGAAAGGAGACAGGGTGATGGGCATTAGTGGTGCCAGCCCCCATCAGAAAAATAAAGGCCTTACAAGAAGCACCACTTACGTCTCATTGATCAGAACTCTGTCACTTGGCCATCCCTAACTGGAGGAGGACTAGCAGAAAGACTGTGGTTAACAGTTGGGTCAGCCAGTCAGTTTAGCAACAGAGTATAATCAACAAAAGCTATTGTGAGGTCAAGAAGAATAAATAAAGATGAATGATGGGGTGGGGAGGGGTAGATCTGGCAGTTAGAAGGCCCCTGGCAACCTTATCAAAAGAAGTTTTCAGGGGCATATTAGACATGGAGAGGGATGAAGGCAAACTGGTGGGTGAAAAATGAGAATATGTCGTTCTTTTTTTAATGTTTGAGAAGGAGAATAATGGAGAAAGCAAAAATCGAAAGGAGAGGGCATCATGGAAAGATCTTCTGCTTGGTTTCAGGATCGTGGATACCTGAATATGTCTATTGGCTGAACAGTATAAACAATTGGAAAGGGAGAGATTTGAGGTATAAATGGTACAAACTAAAGATCAACTGTTGGAAAGAAATGTTTTAAAAAGATGGGTGGCAGCGTATTAAGCACATCCTTGAAAACAGTACTTCTTCCTCCAAAACAAGAAAGGAAGTAAGGATGAGTAACAAAAAGTTTAAGTTTGGATGTGGCATGAAAAAAAGTGGAATTGTTAAAATTCTATTTTGGCAAAAAACACACTTTTTAAATTTTTATTTGTTTAATTGAAGCATAGTTGATTTACAATGTTTCAGATGTACAGCAAAGTGATTCTGTTATACACGCATATCGATTCTTTTTCAGGTTTTTTTCCTTCATAGATTATTGTAAGATATTGAATATAGTTCCCCTTTCTATACAGTAGATCCTTGTTTACCTGTTTTATATATAGTAGTATGTGTATCTGTTAATCACAAATTCCAAATTTATTGCTCCCCCCTTTGGTAACCATAAGTTAAAAACACACTTTAAAACTGTTTAAGTTTTAAAAGATAAATCTTGAATTCACTTATTAACCAGTTTGAAGGAAGGCATGGGAAAGTAGTACGATCTCACCAGAATTCAGGTGTGCTTTGTTTATTTAGGTCCTCGACCAGACATAAGCTAAGAAGGGACCACTTAAGTATTTTTTCCGACATACAGAGCAGAGACCGAGAAGAATGGGAGGGTTTTTTTAATGAATATATGAATATTTTATTTTTTTCTCTTCTCCTTTCCTTAGCTGAAGGGCCCTAAAGAGTATGGAGTTGATTCTTGGTATTTTTCTCCCTCTTCTGCAGTGAGAAAGAGATGGTGGTGGCAGGAGCAATGGCCAAAGCCCTTCCTAGGGGCACCCAGAACTTGCTCTGAAAATTTCTTTCTTTTCTGGTCTCAGCTCCACCTTAGAACGCCTCGGAGGTGGCAATCCACAAGGCTAGAGAGCAGAAAGCCGCAAATGCAAAGCTCATAAATTTGCAAGGTAACTGTGGTCACAGAGCTGGTCAAATCGATAAAAGAGGAAACTACAGTGGTGACCCAGGGGACGCCACCCCCATTTCCAAAATCAGAGCCGGAATCTGACAAGTCCGCCCTGACGCCTGCAAGAAAATGATTCTCACTTTTCATTGGCTGACCCTTCCTGAGTTGAGACCTTGCTTCATTTTCATTGGTTGTTGCTGCTGTCACGTCCTTTCGCCACACCCACTTCCCCCTCGGCGCCCAGTGAGCTTTGCGGGAAAGTGATTTACAGAGGTCGAGGGCGGGAGTCCGCACGTTGCTAGACTGTCTCCCCCACCCCGCGCCACGGCCCGGCCCGCCCCCTGGCCCGAGGCCCCGCCTCCGTCACTGCCGGGCCCGCCTCTTCTTCCAGAGAGGGCGGGGACCAGGCGGCGGCCGCAGCCGCAGGAATATGCTGGAAGGTAGCGGGCGGGTGCCCGGGAGGTGCTGAAGGGACAGTTCCCGCCGCCGAACTTGGCCCGCGGCGGGTGGGCGGGTGGGGCGGCCCTGGAACCCGCGGGCACGTGAGCGATGGAGACCATCTGGATCTACCAGTTCCGCCTCATCGTGATCGGGGACTCCACCGTGGGCAAGTCGTGCCTCCTGCACCGCTTCACTCAGGGCCGCTTTCCTGGGCTGCGCTCCCCCGCCTGCGACCCCACCGTCGGCGTGGACTTCTTCTCCCGCCTGCTGGAGATCGAGCCGGGCAAGAGGATCAAGCTGCAGCTCTGGGATACAGCGGGACAGGAGCGGTTCAGGTAGGGCCGCCGGCGCCGGGACCCTGGGGACCCCGGGCACCGCGCTGGCCCCTCCGTCCGCCTGGGCCCCCCCTTCCCCCAGCGTCGGCCGCTCCGACCCCGGTCGGGAGAGGCTCCGGCCCTCCCCTCTCTCGAAAGTGCAAACACTCCATTCTCGCTTCCCCTTTGCCCCTCCTCTTCCAGGGACGACTTCCTCCTCCGCAATTTCTCACTTCTTTCTTTGGCGCCCATTTCCTGCGCTCCCTTAGCGTGTTACCTTTCCCGCCTGAACCCAGAGCCCCCTCACCAGCCCCAGTCTCTCCGCCCCTGCTGGTGTTTTTATCCCCAACTCTAAGGCTCTCCTGCTGCTTTCTCCCCAAACTCAGGGTCCCTCGCTGCGCACACCCTGACCCGGCCACCCTCCCCCAAGTTCCCCTTTCCTTCCCCTGACCCAGCGGCTTTCCATCTCTGCTGCTCTGGAGAACAGCAGCCAAGGGCCCCCAGATTCACGATTGATCCCTTTAGCTTCACAGCAAGCAGTGCTCCAGCCCAGATTACTGCATGAGCTCACTGGGCATGGTTCACAGGGAGATGAATGCGGTAATGGTTTGAACACCTCACAGCACCGAATGTGGTCATCAGAAATACTGGGCCGGGACCCGTGGGAACGTACATTGTGCAGCAACCGGATGTAACATCAGGGGCAGAGGCACAGCTGAGGAGTTTTTTGTTTTGTTTTTTAAGGGTTGAGTTGTCTTTAGAAGTTTGTCATCATTGGGGCTTTGGTGGAGAAAAGAGATATACATACTGAGATTTGTTAGGAACTTTTCCTTTATTTTATTTATAATTGGTTATCAACGTGGTGCTAATAGATCTCAGGGTGCTAATAGATCAGAAAATACATTTCTAAATAGAGAAGGAGGGACCCAAATGAATAGTCTCAGTCTAAATTCTCATTGAAACACTGAAGGATTTCACAAAGGCAACATGTAAATTAAAACTAAATGTAAATTCTGTGCATTTCCCAGATACTTAAGATTGAACCAGTTATGAAACACATTTTAAATTTCTAGAATTCAAGGACTTTTTTTTTTTTTTGAGGAAGGTAGGGCCTCTAGGGTAGAGTCTGGGGTTTTTCAAAGATTGCTTTATCATTTGGAACTCATTACAGCAAGCATTATGTAGTCTTCAGCAAGAACTCTGCTTGTGAGAGAGAGTAGTCCATGAGGGGACTTCCCAAACATGGCTTCCCCTTACACGAGCCAGCATCCGTTCTGAGTGAGAGCAGCCTGCCTCTGTGAGAATGTTCCAACATTGAAAGTTTTGGCTTCCCTTCCCAGCTATGACACTGATTCACAGAGATAAGTGACTCCTTAGCTTGCTTATACTTCAGTATTCCCATTTGTGAAGTGGAAAGATGGTAAGACCAGCCTTTCAGAGAGATGTTAAAGGTTAGTGGTTTGAATTGTACAAGAATCCATGAAGAAGTTTTTTTCAAGATGCCTCCTTTAAAATAATTTTTCAAACTTCTGATTCCTCCTCTGTAAAATGGAGTCATCATAATCTCTAAGATTCGTGACAATTTTACCATTCTGAGTTGATTACAAATTCCTTCCCGTGTGATCTCAGTCAGAGGTGAACTTTAAGATATTTCATGGTCAGAAAAAAGTGTTTACTAATTGCTCTTGCTCTATCCTCTAAAGTGAATATAATAAAAACATGTTCCTTATACCTTAAACTTCTAGCAGCTACTATCATTTGCAGCTACAAGAAACAAATCTTGTGTCTAAAATTCTTTCCTTAAAAGTAGCTCTTAAACAAATTGACAGGAAAGTAAGGGATGATTAATTTGTTAGATTTTTTAGAGACCTTTCTGCTAAATACATCACTATTTTTATTGCCTTTAAGAAGAAAATAAATAGTAATTCATTTTATATACATTATTAAAACCAGACAGTAACTCTCTCATAATAATGCAAGGACATTCAGGGAATGTTTACTGACAATGAGTCATACTTTATTTTGTTTGGCTCTTTACCAAAGATGTATTCCTAAAGACATAGAGATTTCAGTAGCTATACTTGCTTTTCTCTCATTTAACAGAATGTTTCTCCATAAAATTGCATTTTAAACAATTATTGTTAAATCATTCTGTACCTTCCTCTATGAAAATGTAAATACTTATTTTGAATAAGCACATTGATTTCATAAGAAGGTGCTATGTAGTTCATGAATATATAGTCCTGTCATTGGTTATAATCATACCATTAGGAATTTGTGGGAAATAGTCTATTTGGAGGTTTATTGGTGGTTAGATATAAACTAACAAAAAGGAGCCTACTTTAGACAGCTTGGGGTATAGCCTGAAAGCATAAACAAATATGTTACAGAACAGCAAAATAGTAAGCTGATAATTATGACCATAAATAACCTTAGATTTTTCCTTCACCCACCTTCATTGAGGTATAATTGACAAATAAAGCTTTGGTTTTCAATGTTCTGATTAATATATGCTAGTAGTCAGTAACCTCTTGCAAAAAATAAAACGGAACAAAATCAAAGGGTTAGAAAAATAATGAATATGTGAGCATCTATAAATTGTAACATAGCACTGGATTGTTAAGTTCTATTATTAACTCTGTGTTTTACTCAGGATGAATGTTAAATTGCTGTATTAAGGATACTTAAAATTACAGTGCCTTCATTAATGAGTTGATTTCTCTCTTGTGTAACAGTCTCAAGGTAAGTGGTCCAAGTTGTCGGAGTGGCCCGCTCCAGGCCATCGTTCAGGTACCTTCCCTCCTGCTTTCCTGCCATCCCTAGGACATTATCCTCATCTGTGTGGGCCAAGCTGGGTTTCAGGCACACTATGCGCCAGCTCAGGGTGGGGGGAAGAAAAGATCTAAACAAGCGATGTTTCTTTAAAGCAAGTGAAGCCAATGTGGTACAGATCACCTAAGCTCTCAGTTCACTGAGGAGAAATTAGTTACAAGGCCACACTTGGATGGGGCTACCACGTGCCCAGGAAGAAGAAAAGAGGGGTTTGAGGGCATTGAGGGGAAGCCAGCAGGCACCACTGTTATCTTTTAATCACCATAGTGGAAGAAGTTTATCAGAAAAGAAAACAAGAATATTGCTTAACACAGTATGAATAAGGCTAAGTAAGTGTGAATAAGGCTAGAAGTGTAGAGAGCACCAAACGTAAGAATATAAATTCTGAATTTTTTTCTAGGAAATGCATTTCAAGCGACATGAAGATAAAATGAGATAAAGAAATAGCAACATTGCAGGGACAGAAAACCTGAGGTTTCAAGCTGGATTCAGCCTTTTATTTCACGTCGTCTGGCCTTCGGGGTATTCCAGTTGCAGCCACTGGTTGTAAAGCTTAGAAAATAATGTGCTCCTGGTGCAGTGCTTCGCAAAGGCTCTTCTGCAGAACGCTCAGCCCTTGTGATTTTTTTTTTTAAAGGATGGGGTCTGTAATCCAATAAATTTGGAAATCCCTATATTCCATTTCTCCCTTCGAAATTCACATCAAAGGCTCTAGGAAGTGTCGAGCAAAGAAACATGCTGAACTTTGACTAAACTAGCATTTCCCACATTTATTTGAGAGGCTACTCTTAAAATCTGAAAATTGGTGATAATTAGTGTTCCAAGGAGTATAGTTTTGGGGTTAAGCTCCCTTGATGAGTTGCTCCAGTCACATCCTTTGGGCAGGACCACTAAACTTTTGGAGGTCTGGAGCAAGGGAATGCCTGAAGGCATTAGTTACCCAGCTAGTTCTCCTAGCAAAGGGCTGTAGGCAGTAACTGCTCTATAAGGGACAGCGTCCTCTGCCCCCCCAAAACTCTGAGGGGGACCTCTAATATCATTAGCCTCCTGGGCCTCTCCCCAGCTGTCTGCCTGCCTCTTCCTCTTTCCCTCCAGCTCCTGTTCCTCTGTGTATCCTTCTCTTCCCTGTAACTTACCCTTCCTTAGGCTTCTATTTTTATTTTTCCTTTACCCCTTTCATCTGTCTGTCCCTACTCATAGTTTCCTCCCACCTTCCATCTTTTCCTCTCCTTCCTTTTATTTTAATGTGTCTTTTATGCTCTCATTTCTTTTGAACTTATTTTTCCTTATTTATCCCTCTGCCTCCCTTATGTCTCCATTATCTCCTTTGCCCCTTCAAAACATCCATATGACGTTAATGTTTCAAAGTGGCTTAATTTATGTTCTCCATTCATAATTTTTAAAGTAAACAACATGAACATTTTATATTTCTCCTTAAGATACCTTTAAAGACCCCTAAACTAAATAGGCTTTTTATTTTTTAGGGACCCTCACTTGATCCCCATGCTCCTTACTGTGGTTCATGGTCTTCAATACAAAAAGATTTGCTGATAGTGGATTAGCCGGTTCGTAACTGCATAGGTAACAGAGCAGAGATTGTCCACAATTAAGTGCCACAATCATTGCAGTTCCAAATTATTAGAAACAATAGAAAGCTAGGCTATATTTGTATTGAGTAGTCAGATAATAAAATGACTTAGTTAAAATAATTTGTGTCATAAGTAACAGAAATCTAGTCAAATTAGTGTAGATATAGGAAATAAATTATAAATGATACAGATCTCATGAGAGACAGAAGCTCGCTGAACATACAGGTGTCTGAAAGTACGGAAACTCTCATAACAAGAGTTTATGGATTTTCTCTCTAGTTTATTTCCATTCTCCAATGCTGTCGCCCAGCTGTGTCTCAGTCTCTGAGCCTTTTCCTCAAATTCTTGAAAGAAAAAAATCTCATTAGCTACTTGACCTGCCAGTGAATCAGCTCCCCACCCCCTGAAAGGTTATTAAGATAATATATACATAAGATACAAAGGAATTTTAATACAAATATCCCAGGTATGTATTATAGGTCATATAATGCAGATGCATCTGTCAGGGTCTACTTTTTTGGGAAAGAGAAATTCACAGAAGAAAGAAGTGAGCAGTTACCCCAAAAAGTATCTACTTTATGGTGTTTCAGAGTAAAATAG